ACAGGCAAAAGATTAAGATTACTGGACCCATGTTCTGTGTGGAAAGGTTTCTCTGCATACACAAAAAAGAAAAAGTACCTAAAGTTATTACACTACCTCTAATCAATAAAGAATCCTACATATTAGAATCACCGGGTATCTTTCAAAAAAAATCGGACTCAACGGAGCCATATATATATATATATATATACACACACACACACATACATATCAGAAATCTGATTCTCCAGTGCCCTTTTTAAGACCCTGCAGTTTTTAACAACTTTATATTATGTACATGGTTTATAAACATAGAAATAGTTAGAATTAAATGGCTCCATGACTGCATTTAATGGGTAAAAAGCCTGTAGGTGCGTGTATGGAGCACAATTATACAAGGATGGCTATTATAAAGACAAGGTGGCTAGCGGGTTTAGTTCCGAGTGCAGCTTCCTAAGGATCGGATAAGCATACAGGGCTATTTAAGCAATCAGGGACAGTACGATGCAAAACTATCAGAAATGCAGATTCGCTGCAACAATGGTGTGCTCCACCTTAAGAAAAACAGTATGGAGCAAAGGACGAGCCTCCACATATTTACGCTTCTCACAGCGATAACCGATTTCCACCACCTGGATTTGCAGTTCCCCGGACGCCAGTCTCCACTTCCCCGACACACAGGGCAAATGCTCGACTCCGGAAAATCCCCAGATGCTACGAACGGCCGGGGCCAGAAATCCAGGCTAAGACTCGATCTCCGACAACACAAACGTAGCGGACGGGTCTCGAAGGGTCCCCGACAGGTCCTCGCACTCGCCGATGAGACGAGGCCCCGACAGGGTTAATCAGGAACGGGAGTTCGTCGGCCAGAACCGTGGGGAAAGCCCAGGGCCTCCGGAGCCCCGATGCGGGCGTTCAAGGGCCTCAGAGCAGGGTCAGCTACAGAACCGCGACGCCTGAGCAACTTCAGGTGTTTAAGACCACCGGCTGAGCAGTGTCCCACAGAAACTCCCAACTCAGTCCCCAGTCCCCGAGGCCCGAACCCGGTCGCCTCCAACACCTGGCTCCGAGACCTAAAAGACCGGACAGCCGCCAGCCCCGCACGCCCCGCTCGAAACCTTACCTCCGCAAAAGCAAATGACCCTTTGGCAGAGAAATGTCGCCAAACCACCGTCTCCCGTCTCCAGTAGCTGCGACAAACACCCTACAAAATGGCGGCAGTGCCGTCGCCCCACAACCCCCCCGGCGGCCTCCGGCACCACCTACCTCGCGCGAACGCGCCTGCGCAACAGAGCCTCGCGCTCCTGCCCGTAAGGGACGGGGTTCCGTATGACGCCAGGGGCGGGGCCCGAGTGGCCACACTGCGCCTGCGCGGCCCAGGCAGCCCAGCCCCGCGGCCCAGGCAGCCCAGCCCCGCGGCCTGAGGGAGTTGAGGGTGTTTTGGTTCTCAGAGGACGGGGTCGAAACCGGGAGGGAACGAACAGCTGTGTCCTGCCCAAGCCGAGGCGCGTGTCCGTTCCTTAAAGTGGAGTTATCCCGAGTGCAGCACCTCTCAGCAGAACCGGCTCGTGACCCCGTTCCTGCTGTCCCTCTGGAGAGGGCTGCGCCATCACTTTTGCCTACCAGCTCCCCTAGGACCTCAAGTGCAGAGGGAGCCGAGCCGCACCGGATGGGCCCCAACGCCGCCTGCGCC